TCTGTACAAAATCAATAAAATATATATTTTTTAAAAATGTATTTTCCTGCCCTAGCTGGTTTGGCTCAATGGACAGAGCATCAGCCTGGTGGATGAAGGGTCCCAGGTTCCATTCCAGTCAAGGGCACATGCCCGGGTCTTGGGCTTGATCCCCATAGGGGGCATGCAGAAGGCAGCTGATCAATGATTCCCTCTCATTGTTGATGTTTCTCTCTCCCCTCTTCCTTTTTCTATAAAATCAGTAAAAATATGTTTTTTTTTAAAAAAAAAAAAAGGGGATTTCCCTATTATTTTAAACTTAAAAAAAAAATATCTTGACCATTTTTTAAAAATCCAAGCCTAATCTATAGAAATAAAAGTACTGTATGCAGTCAGCAAGTTTTTCAACTTTGCATTTCTTAGAAGTTTTCCATGTTAAAACATTATTTTTTTTTTATTACTCTGTGGTGTTGTAAAGATATACCCCGTTTCCCTGAAAATAAGACAGTGTCTTATATTAATTTTTGCTCCCAAAGATGCGCTACATCTTATTTTCAGGGGATGTCTTATTTTTCCATGAAGAAGAATACGGTACACATTTATTGTTAAATGAAAATAAAGGAAATTTATTACCTGTATACGGTATGGTAGTATGGTAGTTGTCAACACAAACCAGACACACTGTGAATCCTACAGTATTAAGAATTTACTCATTTATTCAATGACAATCATGTCATCATCTTCTGGAACATCATCATAACAATCCAATTCCTGGATTTCCTGGTGAATTTCTTGTGACTCCATTTCTTTCAGAATCAGTGGACCAAATCTCTCATGTTTAGCCTAGAGGGGCCTTATTTGGGGGGCATGCTTTATATTTCATTCAGAAGGAAACCTGTAGGTAGGTCTTATTTTCGGAGGATGTCTTATTTTCTGGGAAACACGGTAGCATAGATTCCCTAGCCAGTGTGGTTTAGTGGATAGAGTGTTCGGCCTGTGGATCAAAGGGTCCCAGGTTTGGTTCTGATCAAGGGTACATACCTTGTTTGGAAGCTCCTTCCTGGCCCGGGCTCTGGTCAATGTACTAATTAGAACTAATCTACGGATGTTCATTTAGGTTACTAAAATGAACATCCTTATACAGCAGGTCCTCGGGTTACATCAGAGATCTGTTCCTACAGTGCTGGTGTTATGTAACGCGATTTTTGCCATAAGCACCTACGTCACTCACGTGGAGCACATACACAGCAGTAATGAAGTGGAACAGTAAAAAAAAATTAAAAGAAAGGTAACAATTTCTAACCTTTACTTGTGGTAAATCCTTTCTAATAAAAGAGAAACATGCTGCCCTAACCGGTTTTGCTCAGTGGTTAGAGCAATTGGCCTGCAGACTGAAGGGTCCCAGGTTTGATTCCAGTCAGGGGCATGTACTTTGGTTGAGGGCACATCCCCAGTAGGAGGTGTGCAGGAGTCAGCTGATTCATGTTTCTCTCCCATCAATGTTTTTAACTCTCTATTCCTCTCCCTTCCTCTCTGTGAAAAATCAATAAAATATATTTAAAAAGAGCCCGGTGATACCAACAACAAGCAAGGCTTACCAACAAGACTGCACACACAGCCCATAAAGGGCTACACCAAGTCTGTTCACCTCAGGTAACTGGGAGGCTGAATCACTGAAACATATAGGACACCTTAGCACACAAAGCCACCCTACCAACTCAGGGAAGCTGTGAAAATGCCAAAACAAGGAAACAGTTCACAAACAAAAGAAATGGAGGAAAAGAAGTGACTGGATATAGAGTTCAAAACCATGCTTATAAGGTTCTTCAAGAATTTTCTAGAAAAGGTCAATAAGACCTATGAGGATATGAAAAGGGATCAACTAGAAATAATAAGAGATCAATAAGAAATAATAAGGGATCAACAAGAAACAATGAGGGATCAACAAGAAATAAAGAATACATTGTCTGAAATAAAAAAGATTATACAGAGTCCTAAAAACAGAATGGAAGATAGCAAGAATCAAGTCAAAGATTTGGAACATAAAGAACCAGAAGACACTCCTCCGCAGAAGCAAGAAGACAAGAGAATCCAGAAAATTGAAAATAATATAAGAAACCTCTGGGACAACTTCAAGCAAACAAACATCAGAATTATGGAGGTCCCAGAAGATGAGAGAGAGCAAGATATCGAAAATATACTGAAAGAAATAGTGACAGAAAACTTCCCCCACCTGGGAAAAGAATTAGACCTATAAGTCCAGGAAGTGCACAGAACTCCAAACAAAAGGAATCCAAAGAGGACCACACCAAGACAAATCATAATTAAAATTCCAAGAGCAAAAGACAGAGAGAATATTAAAAGCAACAAGAGCTAAGCAGTTAGTTACCTATAAAGGAGCACCCATACGATTGTCAGTTGATTTCTCAACAGAAACCATGCAGGCCAGACAGGAATGGCAAGAAATATTCAAGGTGATGAAGCAAGAACCTACAGCCAAAGATAATCTACCCAGCAAAGCTATTACTCAGAATTGAAGGCCAGATAAAGAGCTTCACAAATAAAAAAAAGCTAAAGGAGTTCATCACCGCCAAACCAGAATTATATGAATTGCTGAAGTGGGTTCTTTTGGAAGAGAAAATAAATAAAGATAAAAACTATGAACAACAAATTTGTAACTATCAACAACTGAATCTAAAAACCAAGGGAATTTAAAAAAAATCTGATGAACAATATTAACTGTTGAATATAATAGAACCAGAGGTATGGAAGGGGAGTGAACTGACGATTCTCGGGGAAAAGGGGAAGGGGGGTGTGGGAAGAGAGTGAACATAAACTGTGCACCTATGGATGAGGACAATGGGGGGTGGGGACAGGGCAGAGGGTGGGATGGGAACCTGGTGGAGGGGAGCAATGGAGGGGGGGGAATGAGGAACATTTGTAATAATATGAACAATAAAGATTTATTTTTTTTAAAAAACGACTATTTGCCTTTGAAATAAAATATAAATATATTTTATATTTTTTTAAAGAAAAAAAAGAGAGAAACATGCAAATTGTCTGTACCTTCGCTACACCTACAAGCCACGCCTGCCAGCCAATCAGGGCAAGCATGCAAATTAACCCAACCAAGATGGCGGTTAATTTGCATATCCAGGCCAGAGTGAAGACTGAAGATAGCATAGAAAGAAGCCAAGCCCTGCTTAAGGAAGCAAAGCTATGGTGCAGCAAGCAAGCGGGACAGCAGAGAAGGCAGGGAAGCAGGTGGGGTGGGGAGAAGAGAGAGAAGCAGGTGGGGCAGCGGAGACTGCAGCAGGAAGCCCTATTGCAGGAATCTTCTTGCGAGGGGCAACTAGTAAATTATAAAAAAGCATAAAGCACATATGTTCATACATCGAAATGATGGTACTTTTTTTTATATAAATAAATGAAGATGGCAACATAACCACAAAACAACATACATCAAGTCTGATGTAACCGGAATACTGCCTGTATATGCTTTCTGGTTATTTATATCATTGTGACACCTTTTGATATAAGCTCACATAGATCTATCTTATTTTTTAAAAACCCATACAGATTTTTATTCATTTTAGAGATGAGAGGGAGAGGGAAACATCGACTTGCTGTTCCACTTATCCATGCATTCATTGTATGTGCCCTGACCCAGAATCAAACCCGCAACCCTCGCATATAGGGACAATGCTCCACCCAACTGAGCTACCCAGCCAGGGCAGGTCTATCTTCTTTTTAACAGCCACTGGGAATTCCAGTCCAAGGATATAACATGCGTTGTGCAACCCATCTCTTGCTGATGGATATGAGGTTGTTTCCAATTTTTCATCCTAGTGGACTTCTTTGACCATTATAGATTTTTAAAAGCTAATATCTGAATTTAACACCTGCAGACCATCAGTAGACCAGTGAACCCCAAGAAACTCCATTTGATGGGGAAGGAAGCCAGGCTTTCCTGGCAGGGCCCAATTGCTGTAAAATGGCCAGAGGATGAGCTTGCTTCAGAGAGGACAAAAAAGCAGTGAGGAGAGTCTTAAAGTTTGCTGTCTGTCACGTTAAAGTATTGTTTTTATTACTTAGAGAACTTGCTGGAAGCTCTAGTTCCTAATAGGAGGGTGTCTATCACCTCTACTGGTGCCTCAGTCCTGGGCTCTGGTTTTCCTTTGATAACCCCTTCTCAACACCATCCCTGGATGCATTCTTAGCAGGGTCATTAGTTCCATGTTTTCCTTTCCCTAACCAAAAGGTGGGCCTAGAACCTAAACCAAGATAGTGAGATTTAATCCTTGACCTTGGGATAGAGGTCCTTCCTCAGTGCTGTGTTGCTTAGCTATCCAGATGTGCATCTAGTGTTGCATAGAAATTCTGCCTCAGGGAGAAGCCGGTTTTCTAGAAACCTAGTCTGAACTCCTGGATCCAGCCCTATTGAGTCGGTTATATGAGCCAGTAAATCTCATTTTACATTTCAGTCAGTGCCAGTTGGGTTTCTGCCATTTCCATCGGAAGAGCCCTTGTTCATTCACCTTTGTCTCAGAAGAAAACAAATTAACTCATGCAAACAGTGTTTATTGAATATCTATGTTCAACCCAGTGCTGGGCAATGCTGGGGATAATAAATGGCCACGACAGAACATGTCCCTCCTCTCAGAGCAATCCTAGTCTACCAGAGCTTCAGTAGTCTATCACAACCCACTCAGTAATAAAGGCCATATCCCCCATGAAGGCGTAGTGAGATCTAAGGATAGGAATTTAAGTTGCCACTGATAGATGGCCAGGAATCAACCAAATGAAATGAGGTTAAGGGCTAAGGGCCCATGCATGCACGCTCAGGGGTGTTCAGAATTCTAGCAGAACTCAGAAACCTGGTAAAAGATCTTGGGAGGAGGAGGGAAAGGTGAAGAGGTGGAAAGGGAAAGGTGAGGCAGCCAGCCAAGCTTCAGCTGAAGGAAGCAGGCGCAGGTGGAGGAGGTGGCCAAGGTGTGCACATGGCCATCCCTTCTCGTTCCTCACAATGTGGTGTAGAAATACATGGCTATCAGCATCACAGGGAGCTGGAGGAGAAGGCAGTCGAGTTAGGAGTGCTTCAGCCCCACACCCACATCCCACCCAACCAATAGGCTCCCTGCCTCTCACCGTCCACATCAGGATGGCAAACCCAAACCACGAGATTCCCCACGTGTAGCTGTCGATGGCATGGCCAATGTGTTCGAAGCAGCCCTGGACAGGGGGAAAATGAGGGTTTGAGTAAATTCTCTCAGGAGGTTGGCTGCTGAAAGCAAGGGTCACTGTATGCCCACAGGAAAGTCACTTCCTTCCTTGAGCCTTGGTTTTTTACTTGTGCAATGGGGATTATGGCAGTGTCTACCTCCCAGTGTGGATTCAGGGCGCAGGAATGTGACCTTGAGTCCAGGACCTGTAAAAGTAGGTGCTAAAATTATAGCATCTGAGGGCGATGTTATTTAGAGCAGGCTTTCCCTGCTGCCCACAGATGCCAAGGGTTGGTAATGTGCCTTTAGGAACAGCCCACTTCTGACATCTCCTCATGGGGATGCATGTAAGCACTCTGCCCAGAGTCTGGGCTGGAAGCATGGCTGTCTGATTCTGTGAGTGGTGATGGTTTGCACATCTGCTCTAAGATATGCTGCTGAAGGGCCCCAAGCAGCCAAGAGCAACCAGAAACACTGGGTCCAGTTCTCCTAGTCTAACCTCTTCTGGTTTCTTTTTCTGACTCTGCACTCCCCTCACAATAGTTTAAGCATCTGGTTGGGGCCTAACTGCCTGAAATCAAGCCCCAGCTCCATCCCTCACTAGCGAGTGACCCCTCAGTTTCATCATCTGTAAAGTGAGATAATTATAATTTTAACCTCAGGCTGTGGTGAGAAATAAGATAAAAACTTAGAAGGATGCCTCATACAAAGTATAAGCTCAATAAATGTGGGTTGTTATTGGTGTTGTGCTCCTGCTATTATTATTGTTGCTCATATTCCCAGCAACCTGAGAAAAATTGCAGGTGTCAGGTCTAAACCAGATATATCTTGTGTGCATCCCGCTAACTTTTAAAGAGAGAGAGAGAGAGAGAGAGAGAGAGAGAGAGAGAGAGAGAGAGAGAGAGAGGTGAGAGAAGAGAGAGATAGAGAAAGCCAGAGAGGGGAGAAGGAAATAATAGACAGTAAAAAGGGGGAAGAGATAGAAGAATCAGAGAGAGCCAGAGAGACCACAGACAGGTGCAGCAGGAGGAAAGGTTCATACCTTGGTGAACAGGTAGTCCATGTGGCCCAGGCGGCAGCCTTCTTCATTGAGGGGAATGAAGTTGCCAGTCCGCCGACAGCACAGTGGGGGCCAGGGAAACACCACCTCTGGGGTGGCCTCCCGGAAGGTTGATGTAAAATTCACCCAGTCCATGGGACCAGATGTGCCACAGCACTCTTGCTGGAGAGAAAAGCAAGGAGTCAGGCTCCAGCTCAGAGCAGACCACTGCTTGCCTGAGATCAGACAGTGAGAAAGGGCAAGGTTGTTCTGTGCCCCTGCTGGGCCCAACTTACCCATGTCCTGGGTCTCAAGGAGGAGGGCAGTGCCTGCGTATGTGAGCGATAACCAGAAGATATTTATTCCAGAACCAAGAGGCTGATGGGGGATTTGGATCAAGCTCACAGTCATGATTTATTTAAAAACTAGAGGCCCAGTGCATGAAATTTGTGCATTGGAGGGAGGGGGGTCCTCAGCCCAACCTGTGTCTTCTCACAGTCTGGACCCCTTCGGGGATGTCCGCCTGCTGGCTTAGGCCCAACCCCTAAGCTGGCAGTCAGACATCCCTTTTGCAGTATGGGGCTCTCGCAGTTCAGGACCCCTTGCTCCTTACCTCTGGCCTGCAGCAGAGGTGGGATAAGCTTCTGCCACCACCACTGCACTCACCAGCCATGAGCCTGGCTTCTGACTGAGTGCACTGACCACCAGGGGGCAACTCCTGTGTTGAGCATCTGCCCCCTGGTGGTCAGGGGGTGTCATAGCGACTGGTCAGTCTGCTGTTCAGTCGATTTGCATATTAGGGTTTTATTGTATAGGACTCTTTTGAGTTCACAGTCAATAAAACCTGAGCTAAATGACATCAAAGTTGGATTCTGTGTTGTTTTTTTCTAGTCCTTATGGGTGTTTATCTTGTGGTCCCTGAAAGATGAAAATATAGGCCCTTTCATACATGGGTTCCAATCCTGGCTAGCTATATGACTTAAGCTAAGCTGGGATCTCAATTTTTCTTGAATACTTAGTATTCTTCTCTGTGCTGCCATGTCAAGTTGGGTTGAGCTAAGAATGTGGCTTCTGGAATGCAGCAACCTTGGTTTGAATCCTTCTGGTTCTGTGACCTACCAGTTGTGTGACCTTGTTCAAGCTCCTCAACCTCTTGCCTCAGTTTCCTCATCACTAAAAAGCTGATCTTCCTTTGCAGGTGTGAGAATTAAATAAACTTTTAAAGTGCACTGAACAGTGCTAACTAGAAGTTAGTGCTCATTAAATGTTTGCTGTTAATATAATATATGTATGATTAAGAGCAGGGATTCTGGATTTAGGCTACCAGGTTTGGATTCCAGCTCAGTCACTTACACTGGGCAAGTGACTTTCCCTGTTTTGGGGCCAGTTTAGTCATCTGAAAAATGACAATGCCTGAATGCCTCCCTCCCAAGAACCAAATAAGTGTATATTATATACCCTGGGCATAATGGGAGCCCTATTTGCCTCTGTAGTCAGAGCCTCAGGTCCTCCAGGCCTCCCTGCCATCATTGCCCATCCTCGCTCACCTCAATCATGATACGGTCCCAGAGGCGAGTCAGTTCTTGGCCCTGGTCTGTGTCTGCACTGTAGAATGTCAGCATCTGCTTGGTAATCAGAGATGGATTGGACACCATCTGTGGAGGGCCAGGAAGAGTAGGGTCCAGTGGGTTGAGTGGGAATAAAAGTCAACCTCCACCCTTAGCCTGAGACCCTCAACACACTCCCCCTGGAAGTCATGCCCCTCCCCTGGCCTCTGCCCGGCTCACATAGTCTCGGTGGGTGTAGGATGTGATACAGGAGGCGCACTCGAAGATGTAGACGATGAGCATGAGCACCAGGTACTGGGGAGAGATAGAGTCAGGAACAAACAAACAGCCCAGTCAGAGCAAAACCTGTGGAATGACACCTCAAGGGAAATGAAAAATTCTTAAAAATGTATAGAACAATGTGAATGGTAGCATCTATGTGATAGGTATACAGGTGTTCACTGTTCAAGTCTTTCCCCTTTTTTGTACGTTTGGAATTTTCCATAATAGAAATCCAACTTTGATGTCAAGTATGTTAACAAATATTCTTGGATACCATAAAATAAATGTCTACTCTAGAAAGGAGAGAGAGAGAGAGAGAGAGAGAGAGAGAGAGAGAGAGAGAGAGAGAGAAAGAAAGAAAGATTTTCTTGAGGTAACCAGGGACATTTGAACACAGACTGAGTATTGGAAGATATATTTGAAGGAACTAGGGTGAATTTCGCAGGTGTGCCAGAAGAATGAAGGTTGCACACAAAAAATTATTTACTGGTATATAATGTAAATGGTATTCCTTTCCTCACTTCTTCCCTTCACCCTTAAATCAACAGGGTGTGGGGCGTGGATTTGCTAACTCTACTGCTGAGAGATGAGATGCTGTGGCATTAACTTGCCTGACTGCTTTAAAAACAATGTCCTTATCACTCAGAGAAATGTATTTATAATGACTTGGTGTCTGGAATGTGCTTCAAAATACCCCAGGAAATAAAAATGTGGGCAGGCAGAGAGTGGAGCAGAGGAGACAAACTTGGCCATCTGTGACTGACTGTGTTGAAATCAGGTGACAGGTACACAGGGTTCATCAGGCCATTCTCCCTACTCTCATCTATAATATGTTTCAAATTTCCCATAATGTATGTGTTTTGTTTTTTAACTTCTATGTCTTATTTAATGACAAACTAATAGACAGACACAAACTTTTTTTTCACTAGTTGGATGAACTTTCAGGGTTTTGGTTAAATTGTATGCCAGAGAATTAAATGCAGAAAAGAGATTTTAAAAGAAGGGAAACAGGAAAGAAAAAGAGCCTTTCAGTGGCCCCATCTCATGATGAAGCCAAGTCTTTACCAAGGCCCATAAGGCCCACCTTCCCTTTCTTCCCTCATCCTCCATGCCATTGCCCACTATTCTCTCCCCCACCCCATCTGCCCTCACCTCAGCTCCTCTCTCATCCCACCCCCACTTGGCTCCAGCCATGCTGGCCTCTGGCCTCCTCTGGCTTCAGAGCCTTTGCTTTTGCTGTTCCTTCCACCTGGAATGTTCTTCCTGCAAATACACAGCTCATTCTCCCCTCCCCAGGCCTTTACTTTCTCAGGCTGCCTTCTGCAGTTTCAGCTCACCCTTCCCTGGTCACTGTCTTCTCCTTCTCGAAGCATCCTCTCTATGACACAAGCTTTAGGTTTTGCTCACTAGATAGCTCCGATGCCTAACATAGGGTTTGGCACATGGTTCTTGCTCAATTAGCATTTGTTGATAGAATAAGTAGGTGCTCCTGAGAATTTAAAGGGCCTTAACTGTAAAGGAAGCACAGTGTTGGAAACTGAGCCTCAGTTTCCTTATCTAGTAACTTCAAAGAGTGCCTGGGAGGATTGAGAGAGTTCATTTTCTAAGCTGCTTAGCCTAGCATCAGGCACATGAGAGGCCCTTGGGGAGTGTGGAGACTGTTGATGTAATTATTATTGGCAGAGACTGAGAGTACAGGTTCAAGTTTAAATCCTGGCTCTGTCACTCACTTGCTGTGTGACCTTGGATAAGTAACTTCACTTCTCTGAGCCTCAATTTCAACTGTCAAGTGGGCTGATGATGATGATGATGGTGATGGTGATGATAGTATCTCATATGGAGTTGTGAGGAATAAATGAATGAATCCATGTAAAGCATTTAGAAAGTAAAGAGCACTCATTAAATGCTGGTTGTGCTATTATTATTGTCATTATCGACAGCACCACTTATGAGCACAAACTCTGGATACCAATTAACTGAGGTTCAAATCCCAGTCCTGCTACTCAAGAGTTGTCCTCCTGTGTAGTGAGCTTTATGCTCTTTCTCCCCTGTGTCCAAGTTTTCTTTTTGAAATTACGGTGACAGCCAAGCCTACGTTTTTGGGTTATGGGAAGGTGAAACAAAATGATTACCATGGCAATGATGGACACACAATAGTGGCTGCAGTGGTGGTTGTTATTATGAGTCTATGAGGATGATCTTTGTGCCTACGTGTCCCCATTCCCTTCTCCTGGGGCCTCACCGTGAGGATCATGGACCGCCGGTGGCAGAGCGCTGCACCCACACCAAAGCTGGCCACGACGAAGAAGGAGAAGCCACAGAAGATGGCGATCCAGGCACCAGCGAAGACATCATCCTTGCCTGAGACACCCATTAGTGGGTACACATGGTACTGGTCAGCTGTCACCCATACTGTCTCAGCAAACAGGGCCAGGCCTGACAGCTAGAAAGAGCAACAGGAAGAAAGACCAACTCAGGGACAACAGCCCCAGCTGCCTGAGTCTCCATGAGCAAGTCCTTTCCTCATTCTGAACCTCTACTGCCTGCTCAGTAAAGTGGGCATGTGATAAGAGAGGCAAAGACATCACCTTTCATGAATAGGGATGGGGCTAGACAGAGGCCAGAAAGGAAAGAGGCCCAGTCAGAAGTGCCCCTCTCCCCTTACTTCCTGTTGCTTTAAGAGCAAAATAAGATGCCACATGCAGGCCTAGAGGAGATGCTTGGCCAACCTGCACTTCCTTACTAGTGTTATTCTCTGAATAGGGGAATCTGACCATTCCCAGAACAATTACAAATATACCAACTCTTAGGTTCAGCAATTCCACCTGCAGAAATCAACCCCCCACACACGTGCCCATGCAGGAAAATCACAAACCACCTATAGGTAAAGGAACCAGGATGCTACACAATGGAGTATTATGCAGTTCTGGAAAAGGACAGAGGGGCTCTCTTGAGGACTCCTGTGGAGTGGCCTATAGGCTATGTGACAAGAGAAGATGGGAGGCATGAAAAAGGATATGGGTTGAGTGACATTTGGGGCAAAAGGAGGAAATAGGTGCATACACAGAGTGGCCAGATTATTATGATCTCTGAACACATAATAATGTGGCCACTTGCCCTAATCGGTTTGGCTCAGTGGATAGAGTGCTGGCCTGCAGACTGAAGGGTCCCAGGTTCAATTCTGGTCAAGGACATGTACCTTGGTTGCGGGCACATCACCAATAGGGAGTGTGCAGGAGGCAGCTGATTGAGGTTTCTAACTCTCTATCCCTCTCTCTTCTTCCCTGTAAAAAGTCAATAAAATATATTTTAAAAAAAATAATCTGGCCACTCAGTGTATATTCTATATAATAAAAGGCTAACATGCAAATTGTCCCCTTGACCAGGAGTTTGACTAACAGGTAGGGCAGCCAACCACCCATGACCACCCCCCCCCCAGCCTGGCCCTATGCATGAATTCATGCACCAGGCCTCTAATATATACATACTGAGTAACTAGATTATTATGCATTCAGAGATCATAATAATCTGGCCACTCAGTGTATGCTCCTATGTTTGCATTTTTTACATGTTGGAAAAACTAAACATCTAGTTACCTGCAGGATAAGGAATGGGGAACAAAAGAGAGGAACTTTCTTGGTGGATTTGTTTGATGATAATCAAACTAACACTCCTAGAGCACTTCCTGTGTGCCAGGCATTGGATCTCCTAATGGTTTTTGTGTGATGATTATTATTGTTACTAGCTTTAATGTACATTGTTATTATGACTAATACAAAGAGTAATGACATGGCCCAAACTGGTCTAAGTACATTAATCCAATAACTCATTTTATCCTCTCAGCATTACTATTTTATCTCCATCTTACAGTTAAGAAAATTGAGGCTCAGAGAGGTGGCCCCACAATAGAAAATGGCAATGCTGGGATTTGAACCCAGGCTGCTTGGTCCAGAGCCATGTACAAGCATCACATATTTTTTTTAAAAAAACATTAAATGTTAAGGAAAAGACATTGTTAATATTTTATCATGGGCTTTCTGTGTGCCAATCAGGCACTTTATATCTGTAATCATATTAATGTTGATAGCGAGCATTTCTTTTTAAAATATATATCTTTATTGATTTCAGAGAGAAAGGGAGAGGAAGAGGGAGAAACATCAATGATGAGAGAATCATTTATCTGTTGCCTCCTACACGTTCCCCACTGGAGATCAAGCCTGCAACTCGGTGATGTGCCCTTGACTGGAATTGAACCTGGGACCCTTTAGTCCACAGGCCAATGCTCTATCTACTGAGCAAAACTGGCTAGGGCGATAGTTAGTACTTATTAATTGCTTTTTCTGAGCTGAAGGTCATACATGGATTATTCCACACAAATATCCCCATAATGAGGACATAATTTATAGTTGGGGAAACAGGCACAAAGAATTAAAGTCACTTGCTCAAGATCACACAGATGGGAGAGGCAGAGCTGATATTCCAATGCAGCCTGCTCTGACTTGAGAGCCTGTATCACTGGCCTGCTGGGGAGTCTTGGGCCCTCAGCCTCCACCCTCAGGCTCAGGACTGCCCCTTTCTCCCCACCTCCCACTCAGCTCCCAGCTCTGGGGGATGTCTCACCAGAATAATGATGTTGCCCAGGACCAGCAGTCCCACCACAATCGGAGATCCCTTCTCCGCCTCTGCTCCTGCAGAAGCCATAGTCGTGCCTGGGACACATGAGCAGGGATGAGGCCAGGCAAAGGTCAAGAGAGGAGGGAAGGTCCAGCTGGAACTATTGCCCCCCAACTGCCATGGGCTGCACCTTGATATCTGCTGGGCCTAGGCTGGTAGTGAGTGTGCCCAGCTTCCCTCAACCCCGGTTGATGGGCCATTTTACAAAAGAGGATAGTGAGGACCAAGCAGGGCACTCCCTCTCCAGAGCTCTCAGCACTGGCCCTCCTTGCGCCTCAGACCACCCCATTTCCTCTACCCGTCCAGACCCCCAGAGTCCCCTCCTCACCTTCTCTGCCTGCAGTTCCTCTGGCCAGCCCCTCCCACAGTGGCTCCCTATATATGCCCAGGCCCCTCCTTAGGAAAGGAGGAGAGTGTCTGAAAAAAGGGACGAGAGGTCAAGCAGGCAGACCAGCATGAGAGAACAGCTTTGTGGGCCCCACCCGAGTGATTTATAGACCTGATATTCCAGATTGTACTAGAATCTGGCCACATGGGCAGGGTGATGTGGTCCTGATAAGGCTGCTGTAGAAGGGGAGGGGGGAGTGAGTGAACCACCTGATCTCTCTCCTTAAAACATAGGCCTTCCTGGGAGCAGAAGAGAGATACAAGTTGGACCAGTGTGTGAATCCTGAATCCCAGAACTGTCTCTTCTGCTGGTGGTTATACCTTTCCAAGTTTAGGAACCCAGGGGGTATACCCAGCAGAGACTTGGCAGGTGAGGACAGGGCTAGACCAAGAGAGGGAGGTGGGGAGGAGAGTAGGGGGCAGGTGGCTCAGAGGCTGATTGCATGGGCTGTGGGGAGAAGATGGCAGGAGATGGGTGTGTAAGAGGAGTTTGAGATGAGCGTACAACACGGGCAGAATAGAGGTATGCTAAAAAGGGGAGGGGCACACTGAGTGAGTGGGCTTGGTGGGAGCAGAATTGCTGGGTCATGAATATGTATGTGCCAGGTTGCTTTTCACAATGGCTGTCCCTAGTGCCCTCCATCCAAAAATTTATGAGGGTTCCTGTATCCTTCAATCACCACCTACATTTGGCTTTTTGACAGAGTAATTCAGTGTAAAGTGATACCTGCCATTATTTCAATTCTCACTTATTACTAATGATTTTAAGCACCTTTTCACGTTGGTTAGCATTTTGAGTTTTTATTCCCATACACATTTTCATTTTTAACATATATGTATATATCCATCAACAAAGTATAGAATGGTTTTAGATATTTTAATAAACTTTATGCATATAATTTGTACATATCCTCATGAAATGGATTTTTTTCACTTCAACATTATGCTTTTGAGATTTATTCATCACATCTGTGGCTCTAGCTCAGCTGTTTTTCTTTGCAAGAATACTTTATAGGTTAAACTTTCCTTTTCAAATGAATTCATTTTAGCAAAGATGTCATCAATGGCAGCACAGAGGTATGCAAACATAGCAACACTCTGAAACCCCACGTTTGAGCCAGCAGGTAAAAGGCAAGAAAGAACATTTCTGACTGAGGGCATGAGGAATATGTAAAGGCTGGAATCTCAGATGCTCTTTTGGGTCAGCTGAGCAAAGGAGGGTCTGAAATTCATGGGTAGGCGTGGGACAGGTGAGTATTGTGCCCAAGAAAGGGAAACTTTGGAGCTAAGTAACCCGTGTGAAGTGTGAGATAAGTAGGAGAGAGGAAAAAGGGGAAGGGAAAGAACGATCTGGGGAAACAAGTATGTGGTGTGTGGTGGTGAATCAAAGAGGAAAGCACTGCCTGATTGGCATGGCTCAGTGGTTAAGCATTGACCCAAGATTCCTTCTCCAGCCGACCACAAGCACCAGGGATACGGGCTTCCCTCCCTTTGGTCAGCCATAGGCGCCCAGGCTGGCTGCAGACTTGTGGCTTTGCCTATGCTGCAGCTGCAAGTGCTGGCACCTGAGACTGCAGGTTGGGCAGCTTCTCCATCTCCCAGGCCACGGCCAGGCGCAGGTGCTGGTGCCCAGGACTGCAGGGTGGGCAGCTTCTCTGTGTACCAGCTGTAGCCAGCTGCAGGTGCTGGTGCCTGACTTCTCCAACTCCCACAGGCCCATAACGGCTGGGGTGTGTTGCTGCTGCCATGTTTTCAGTTTAATTTGCATACTCACTCTGATTAGCTGTTGGGCATAGTGGAGTGATGGTAATTTGCATGTTTCTCTTTTATTAGTGTAGACTAGAGGCCTGATGCATGAAATTAGTGCAAGAATAGGCCTTCACAGCTGTGGCTGCCTGGATTCCTCCCTTGTACCCTCTATACTGCAGCAGCTCTAGCTGCTGCAGTATAGAGGGTACATTGATCTAATTAGCATATTATGCTTTTATTATTATAGATAAAGGCAAGGTTCAGAACACCAGGAACAGCAGGCTACTATGGGGGGCAGGTAGGTAGGAGGAAAGCTCTGCTTGCAAATGTAGAAACTATCTTTGAAAGAACACACAAGAAATCAGTAATGTAGTCATCTCCTTGTGGCTAGAGGAGAAGGTGAGGGAGGACTGATTTTCCTGTTTTTTTGTTTTGTTTTGTTTTTTTGTGCCTTTGAAAGGGTTGAGGTGCGCTGTCTCAGGAGTGCACCCTCACTTTTCTTTCCCCACAGGCACGCATCTGCTAAACTCTTAGAGTCCCCACAAGATCTACAACCAGGGGAACAATGAACAGTGGTGGCTTGTACTGGACTAAACCCCTGGACCTGTCTCCAAGGCCCCCTTTTTAAAAATGTAATTTAAATTCCTTATTGTTTAAAGTATTACATATGTCTCCTCTCTCCCCAATTGGCCTCTCCCCAGCTGCTATCCAAGGCCCCTTTTTTCAGGCTTCCCAGTGAGCCAAGCAGCCCCGCCCAGGCTCTCCTGGTGCTTTTTCCATCATAAGCCTTCCTGGTTCCACTAACCCCAGCTTTAATAAATGTATTCTCAGTTTTAAAAAGGGGTTGAGAAATTGATGTTATCAAAATGGCTAAATGGGAACTTTTATACCATATTCCCCTTGAGGAACATTGATTTTAAAAATCACCCATGGATGAGAAGTCCAGGAGTCCAGCAGAGAAGTTCCAGCATACCACTGAAGGAAAAACATTGAGATTAAATGCATTGAAGAGGAATACTGAGAGTTCTGTACACCTCAGGGAGCTGTGGGAATAGCAGCCAGGGATCTCAGAAACCATTAGAGAGACTCAGATCCTACTAATCATATCACACACATCAGGAAGATAGTGCATGCACCACTGGGAATGGAATGCTTGCCTTTGGACCCCCAACTGGTCCATAGACACCCCCAGCACTGTGCACCTCACCGCACCTGCTCCCACCCCACGGCTGGCTCCCTGTGCACACTGCTGAGGGTGTGAGAGTGCGCCTTTGGAGATGGTTAATGAGCATGTACAGAAAGTCAGCCAACTCTGCAGGATTGGGAGGAAGCATACAAACTTGAGCATTCAGTCCAACACTAGCTGTCAGCATTTGCTCTGGCTTTGCAGAATTGAGAGAAGGCATTCAATCTTAAGAATTCCCCCTCCCTAAGAGGGAACTAGATATGTGGAGCAAGTATACATAGAAGGGTTCTGAGAAAGCCTTAGAATCCCTACTAGTGCTGATGAAAAGTATTTCTCACCCAAAGGCAATCAGTAAGACTGGAAGAGACTGACTCTTCAAATGTGAAGGCAGCATTGCTAGAATCAAGGAATATGAAAAATAAGGAAACATACCACCACCAAAGGAACACAATGCTTTTCTAATAACCAACCCCAAAGAAATGGAAATCTGTGATTTTTTTGAGGAAGAGATGTCATATGGGAAGTGACTTGTTTGCAAATGTTGGCTACTTTGTGCAGTTTGGCTATTTAGTTCCTGTTTCTTTGTACATTGTTTTTTGTTAAATAAAACAAGTGTGTTTTTCAAAAAAAGTAAAAGTAGCCGAAACCGGTTTGGCTCAGTGGATAGAGCATCGGCCTGTGGACTGAAAGGTCCCAGGTTTGATTCCTGTCAAGAGCATGTACCTTGGTTGTGGGAACATCCCTACTAGGAGGTGTGCAAGAGGCAGCTGATCGATGATTCTCTCATCGATGTTTCTAACTCTCTATCCCTTTCTCTTCCTCTCTATAAAAAATCAATAATATATATATATTTAAAAAGAATACTACACTGCTATAAAAAAGAGAGAACTTTAAAAAAAAGTAAATTAAGCCTGTTTAAATAAATTATGACATAAAAAATATAAAATAGTCCTGGCTGGTTTGGCTCAGTGGATGATTCTCTCTCATCATTGATGTTTCTATCTCTCCCTCTCCCTTTCTCTCTGAAATCAATGAAAAACAAACAAACATATATATATATATATATATATATATATATATATATATATATATTGAGGAGAGTAAAAGTATAGAGTTTTTGTATGTAAAGTTAAGTTGTTAAAACAACTTTACTGAATTTGTGAATTAGTTCTAACACTTTTTTTGGCGGAGTCCTTAGGACTTCTTATATTCAAGATCATCATCTTCAAACAGAGACCATTTTACTTCTCCCAAAGACATAATCAGTCTTTGAATATAACTTCGCTGCTTCTGCAAAACAAAATAATTGATCGGGACAGGCATCAAACTATGAACCAGGAGGTTCACGATTCAATTCCTAGTCAGGATACATGCCTGGGTTGAGGGCTTGATATCCAGTAGGGGGCATGCAGGTGGCAGCCAATAAATGATTCTCTGCCATCATTGATGTTTCTAAATCTCTCTCTCTCTCCCCCTTTCTCTCTCTGAAATCAATAAAAATAAGACATTCTTAAAAAAAAAAAGTATAAGCCACTGTGGAGAACAGTATAGAGTTTCCTCAAAAAACTAAAAATGGAACTCCCATTTGACCCAGTGATTCCACTTCTAGAAATACTAGCGTATCCCAAGAAACTAGAAACACTAATCAGAAAGTATGTATGCACTCCTATGTTCATAACAGCTCAATTTACAAGAAGGACAAGGA